TATCTAACTAATTTTGCTTACTTTTGTTTATTAAATATTATTTACATCTATTAAACCTATTATTTTTATAGATTTTTTTAAAAAGTACAATTTTTTTCTTTTCAAAGTCACCATAAACTTATCATTTATTCTTTTGTTGACTAATTTCTTAATTTGTTTTTCTATATTTTGTAAATAGAATTATTTCACTAAATTTATTACTAAAAGTTATAAAAAAATTGAAAGTGCAAATAATTTTTTTAAAAAAATGTATATCATATTTAATTATAAAAAACCAGTAATGATTATAAAGTTAATTGCAATAATACACTATTTTTAAATAGTAAATTAGATATATAAAGCTTTCTCTAAGCTAAAAGTTGGCTAAAGAAAAAAATATATTATTTGATATCTTGATATTGTCATACATATTCCTTTATGACATCGGAAAGCCTTTTCTGGTTCTATGATAAACCACTGACTAGTTCAATTAAACTACACTACCAAAGAAAAAGAAATAATTCTCACCAAAGTAAATTCTACTTGTGAAATATTTCGATGACGACGAAAAACTGTATGCAATTTGAAGGCAGAGTCCAATTTAAGGACTGTTAAATCTATTTACCAAGCAAAAATTAGAGGCAAGCTCGAAGCAAATCCTTGAAGAAAAAAACAAAAACCACGACATATCAACTCTATTGTTGATTGTTGGTTGGTTGATGTTTCATTTGCAACAGTGCATTCAATTGCTTACATGGAGTTAGTAAGCGGCACGTAATTCGTTAAATAAAAGCCATTCCAAAAACAAAAGAAACCCACAAACTACTGGGTTGAGATTGAATTGAAATCAGACTACAGAGAGGTGCACTGTGCTATGCGGGCACCTTTAATACTAGAGCCTGATTCTACCGATTCTACTGATCTTGTATCCACAGTTAATATTAAATCACTTAATCGAGAGCTTCGTCTGGTTGTGCACCCACTTGCGCAGGGACACACACACACACACACACATTGCCACACCGGAAACAGTTTTCCAACCATATTCAGTGCTACAATCTAGATCCTGAACTTGGTTCATAAATTGAAAGTGAACCTTTGTGAGCGTTGAAATTCCAGCTTGGATGCATGAATGTCCACAACACTGCTAACAACCAAACCTCTGCAGCTTCAAAATTATTCTGAAAGTAACTACTTGTCACCGAATCTTTGGATATGGTGGCTGAATCCCTGAGGTTGAGGTAGAGAGGCCTTTGTGGTGAAAGGCAAAGCTCAGCACTGTCTGGTTTAGTTGATGATGAGATTAGACAAAGAGGCGATGGAGGCGGCGGAAGTACCACTCTTACTCACACTGCTGCAGCTTTTTAGTAGAGTCTAGACTGTGCCAGGACTAGTTATCATAGTTTGAATGTTCAAGAAGTAAGCCAGTTTTTGTGGTATCTCTGCAGACCACGCCGCCGCTGCTCTAACAAAAGGTTTCAGTTCATGGAGCATTGAAACTTGAACTTTTGTGGATCACAATCTTGGTCTGCAACTGCAAGTCATGAGGTTTGCATGGTAGATGGCGCTGCTCTCTCTCTCTCTCTCTCTCTCTCTCTCTCTCTCTCCCTATTCCTCTACCTTGTTCTTACAAACCTAATGAATCAATTCTGCTTCACTCAAAATTGATTTTCGGCGCCCACCCCCGAATCCATCTGTCTCTGATAATATATCAAGTTTTTATTGTAAACACTCTTGTTTATTCACATCACATGGGAATTGTGTGTAATGGCAACCTTTGATTCTTCCTTCTTGCCTCCCTATAGTCATCATTCAACCCAATTTCTAGTCCATCATCCATACTTGACATGGCTCTTGTCTAAATAAATTTTGTAATTCTTCAAAACTGATCCACTTGCAACCAAAGACCATAAAAATAGAGTTGATTTAGCTTATATATATATATATATATATATACTTAAATTAACAATTTTCTGGATTGGATTTTGATCAAATACAAAACGATCAACTTTTTATATGCCAAAGCCTATATACTAGTTAATAATAAATCTACATTAACATGAAGGTGATGGCTATTATCTTCTTAAATTTCTTAAGTCTTCTTTTACATTACCATCTATTTAGCTCAAAGTTCTAATTTTCAGTTATAGACAAATTTTGATTATACCAAATAGACTTTTAGCATTATGTGTTTCTTCAGACATAAGTATAATATCTTTATTATTTACACATTACAATATTATTGAAGTTTTTGTTTAATTCTCTTCAAATAAAATTTATAACTTATAAACTAATTTTAAAATTCAATCAATATCAAAATAACTACTTTTGATATTGATTAAATTGGGAGTGAAGATAATTGAGACTTTATTATAGGTTTTTATTTTTATTTTCAGAAGAAGAATTGTTTCTAAGAAAAAAAGGAAATCACTAGCATGTATCATCTACAAAATTATAATATATGGCACTTGCTAATACAATAGCAAATAAACTTTGACTTAAAAAATTATTAATCCATCTAAAGTATTACTAAACTAATTCTACAATATTTCATTCTAATAACCACATTAATCTTGTTTTAACAACAATTTCAAAATATCATTTCAAAAGTAAAAATAATGATGTTCAATAAAATTTTACAAAAAGAAGAAATTTAACTAAAAAAAATCTAATTTTTAAAATTCTAAAAACATACAAAAGTTAATAAAAATGTCTTTATATAAGGACAAATATAACCACTATATGCACAAACTTGGCATGACTTTACTACAAAGTATTCAATTCCCTGCCTCACAACCCACTACTCTCCAAATCCAAGTTTTGTATTCCTCCCCATCTACCCAGTTTGTTGAGGAGCTCTATGCATGCTCTTTCATTCTCCTTAAATGATCAGCTTTGGACTAGAAGAACCCCAAGCAACAATTCATTTTATAATGCTGATTCAAAGAATGTTCTAAATCTAAATCCAAATCTACACGACTGAAGCCTGAGATTAGTGGTAGCGAACTATTAAAACTCCTGAAGGTGCAGGGAACTCCAAAAACAATGTCAACCTTGTACACTTTTGAACAATTCTGGCAAACGACGAAAAAAACAATAAACACACACTAAGTCCAACCCACAGTGCAAGAACGGTGGACTGCTTCAAATCACAATTAATGATGGTCAAAATTTGTTGGATGATGAATGGATGTCCATTCATTTTACCTACTTTGACTTTAGAGATTTGGAAAACAAATTAGGACAATCTTGGATTATCTTCAGAAAAATTCAAAAAAAAAAAAAAATCTAATATTTATCTAGGAAAGCTTTTGAGCCTTGGAGTATGATTTCTGCCCATTGTGAAGGAATCTGTTTAAGACTGAAACACCACAAGTGGTGATTATCCTTGACCAGTTTTGTGTAGGGCATTGCCTTATGAATGAAGCCTGGTCTATGCTCAGCAGGTTTACAGATCCACCTGAACGGCGAGTTCAAGGTGCCGGCTTGTGCGCCACTTGACCATTTGGAGATGCTCCTACATATTTAAAAACTGGAAAAATGAGAGTATGTGGATCTGTCAAATGTTTTATGAATGTTTGTGTTGTGGTTCTTTGGCGAGTGAGACATGTGAGTTTCGAGAACTGTGAGGTTCATGAATATTGCATGCTTGCCTTTTTTTGGATTTATTGCAATACTTTGTTTTGGTGGTCCCTGTGACCCAAGTCTTGCCTGGGGATACATTTAGAGGTAAGGACGTATCCACGGAAATTCCTGTAGAAGCTGCTTCGAATCCGACAACTGGTTTGTTCGGCAAATCTGTGCTTAACATCTCCTGTGGGTTGATTGTTATCGGCACATTCCATGCAGAAAATTGGTGACGTTTTACCATCTGATACTTTAGATGCTATCGAGCTTAGGTTTTACAATTATCAAGTTGAGAATATTCAATGTTTTCTGAGGTATTGATTCTGAGGTAGTAGTCGACATGGGTCAATGATATACGGTTACTGAAGGGAAAGTAGAAACAACAACAACAACGAAAATCTTAAATAATTAGAACATTTTTTTAATAATTTCCTCCCAGGACAGTGAAAGTGGACTTTGCGTGGAACAATCAAGCTAGGGTGTTACGAATTGCTTCGCCCTTGACCTGAGAGTAGAGCGCATCTCACTGGAGCAACATGTCAATGTATTCTTAACAGGAGAATGTGGACATGGTAAAATGGGACTAACATTGCATGATAAATGTGCATGAAAGAAGTGATTGGAATTAGCTAGTGAATTGAATCGATGCAAGGCCGGAACTTACATGGGGAGCCACGATCTGTTCCGGTTTGGACATTTGTTTTATTTCGCAAAACGCCGACGGCAGCAAAAGGGCAATGATGAAGAATGCTGAAGAAGCAAGGAAACAGAGTAGTTCAAAAAATCACCGAGTCCTGGAATCGGAGACTTGCAGTGATTGTTAGCAGCAGCGGAACACCTCCAGAGCGAGAGGAGATTCTAGAAGCTAATGGATAGAATAATCAACACTTTGCCAAATGAGGGCTGAGACTGCTCTAAATCCCGCTCTAGAGACCGTTCTGGGTCGACGTTTTGTCTAGGATCCAAGACCAGGTCGGTGGAGACCCATGATGCACACTTGGAAGTAGTAATCGTATTTTTCCAACTTGCATACAATTGATAAATTCATGTCAGAACCATATTTAGGATCTAACCCACTGCTAACCTCGTCACCAAGTGGCCTCGGAACCTCTCAACTCAATCGACTGGCATAACATATCTTAAGACAAGCTCAGGATAAGGAAGCCAAACTAAAAAGAAAAAAAGCAAAAAGAAAACTTTGTTCTTTTCAGTACATGATTGAGCAGATTTTACTTGGTGGTGGTGGTGGTAATAATGGCTGTCAAAGGCCCTTTGTTAAAGGAATTTTGGGAGTTTGAATACTATAGAATGTACATGAAGATTTCCATAGTTTGAATACTATAGAATGAAGATTTTTTGTTTCCACTGAAATTCAACGAATGTTAGTCAGTTGTAGCCCCCGTGGTCCGCAAGGTCTGGACCTGAAGACAAGATTTTAAACTGAAGCATCTTTTCGCCGATTATGGATAGATGTCGCAAAGCATTGAGAGCTGCGGAGCTTTAGTTGTCTGTTGCGGGGTTCTGTCATCCATATTGATCGTGTGCTCTCACTGGTGAGTGCTACCAGCTCCGAAGCGATTTGCATAATCTTGTGTGTATCACATGAACTCCTAGAGAGGATCTCTGGTTTTCGGCCAGGGATCTTTCACCAGGATTCGGGGGCGTAAGAAATGCTCCTGTATCTCTCAGATGGGATGCCGTAGCATGCATGGGGGCTACAGAATAGCATGTGTGTTGAACCTGGCTGTTGCAGAATTCCTCACTTTGTCTTAGCTGAGATCGCGATCCCAGCCTGTGACCTGCTCACCGTTACTGCGCGTTGTTAGAGTAGTTTGCGCTTTCTATAGTGACTCTTAATGGTCTTTTGTTTGTGTTATGAGTTAGCTGTGATGAAATTCGCATTGTTCAGATTACGTTCTCACCCTTGTTTCCTTTGCAGTCAACGGTAATTTTCTTTGACGCGCTTTCAATCGATCCTTAAGTACCAGCCACTACATCAACTTACAATACTCATGAAATGGCTCCGAAACTAATCGACAGAGTTAAAGAACTTTCCAAGTAAGTATCTCGTCCATTGCAACAATTCCTCACATTAATCTGCTTTATTAAAATAATCCACCCAGGCGAAGGAAACACGAGTCGCCGTGTATCCTAAACTTTTGCTTCAACTCGGCATCTCACCTGCGTCTCATCGTTTCGGATGTCTGAATTTGCCAGGTCCTCGCATGACGCAGCAAAACAGCTTGAGGTGACAGTTTCCGACCTTGAAAAAATCCACTTTGGCGGCGGGTCAAGTGTCCCGAAAGGCCCCATGGCTAAACTTGGACGTGGATTTCAGACATTCAAGGTCAACGTCTACGAGTATGAACTTAACTCCATCGACTTCTTATTTTCGGGCTTAAATCTCTTCTTGAAAAAAACGTATCTCGTAGACGATGAATTTTTATCAACGGACATGCGTGCAAGTACTCTTTTTTTTTTTTTTTTTTTTTTTTTTTTCTGGAGGTTAACTTGCAATTCTTTGCCATGGCAGCAAGGACAAAGAGTTGTTCGATAAGCTGAAGTCTGGACAATCGCCCAAGGTACCTGGCCTGTCTGCGATGTGAAATTAGGAGTTTTGGGTTTAACAGTCTCGTTGTTATATGAGACTGCCTGTTCTTATTCAGCTGTTGGGGCGAGACGTTACGGTTTGTGGTGACAGCAGTATTGAAGGTTGATTTGTTCTGCTGCAGTACATGGTGATAGCTTGCTCCGACTCCCGAGTTGACCCTGCTATCATCCTGGGACTCAAAGTTGGAGATGCTTTTGTTGTGCGCAATATCGCTAACCTGGTGCCAGCTTGGGAGCCGAAGTGCGGTAACCCATCAGTTGCCTCTGCTCTCGAGTACGCTGTGAAGCACCTCCATGTCGAGCACATCGTTGTTGTCGGACACAGGAAGTGTGGAGGAATTGAAGCTCTTGTTGTCACCGAGGAAGACAAGGGCACCCAGTAAGTGTAGCTATTTCAATACCCCCCGCTTCCTGTCCGTGAATATATGTGTGTATGTGTGTATGTGTGTATGCGAGTATATATTATCACGAAATTAACCTAATTACGATCTATAACTGCGTTTGACGAGATTGTTTTCAGCGACTTTATCGAGAAATGGATGGAGATCGCTCAACCGGCGCGCACTGTTACCAAGGCCATTGTGGGCAAAGAGAGTGTGGACGAGCAATGCAAGTTTTGTGAGAAGGAGTCCGTAAACGTATCCCTCAGTAACTTACTCACTTACCCATGGATCAAGGAGAAGGTGATCGGCAATAAGCTAAGCCTCCACGGGGGCTACTACGACTTTGTAAAAGGTTATTTCCAGACTTGGGACTTGGACATCAATGTTGGTCACTCTCAGAAGTTCTAGATCATTGTGGGTCGGCGCAACTACGTGGATTGTAAGCTTGTATGTTGAGTAGGTTCTGTAGATCGATAGAGGGTTGCGTTCGAAGGGTAGTTTGTTAGTCGGCGCGATGTATTAAGACTTCCAGGAGCTGATTTCCTGTTTATTCAATAACCAGATGAAAGCTGGTTTGTCTTCTTATCGTTTCAGATAATTCCCTTGAGTTTCATATAATATCTGCGCACTAGCTTTCTTAAAAGCCATGGTGTTCTGTAACTCTGTTAACTCAAAAGGATGAATATATTGATGTTACTGAACCTAGTGGTACTAGCAAAAACAAGGTCCATCTAACTCTCTTCCTGTCAGAAGACTAAACGTAATTTCAAGCAATCGACGAATCTTGTCCATATCGATAAGAATGAAAAGTCTCGTTATCCCTTTGAAAAATGTCACCCATATGTATCTTCCACAATATGCACATGTGCCAGTTCAATGGAATATTAGGGCACTCTTCCGTCAATTATGTGAATCTGCAGTCAGCCAGTATCATCGCTAGATATGGTTATTCCAGTGGCAATCATGACCTACACATTCCACTGCTCACTCTTCGGAACATAGTGAAATTATCTTGTTCCATAAACGGATTGTTGCAGTTACACTACACTGGATGAAGCATTAACGATCCTCAAACCAGTTGCAACTGGTTTGTGGACACTTTATTGGATCCACAAACCAGTTGGAGCTCCCGATGCCACAGCCTCACAGTTTCAGAAATACGATTTCTGCACTGGTGGTTGAGCTCAATGAGAACATACATTCAAGTAGAGAATCGCCTGCTGATGAGTTTTGATAACTGATTCTTTCTTTTCTTCATCATGTTTGTTTGTTTGTTTGTTTATTTATTTTGGTTTATTTTATTTTATTATTTTTAACAAACTTTGTTTAAATGAGAAAAAAAATATATATATACATATATATATATATATATATATGAGACTTGGTCCCTGTTGGGATTGTCAGGTCAATTTGCTCTAGTGACAATTTCCACTTAGGAGAAAAGAGTCACTAGAGTAAAAGATTTAGTTGGTACAACAAGTAGAGTTTCATTAACTCTACGCTATACAAGCCAATGAAACTCTTTAGATGAGAATGTCATGCCATGCCTACAAAAATTAAGTCCTATCAGGCACATTGAATAATTGTGAAGTTATCTAATACTATGTTGGCAAAAAGTGTTCTACATCATATGCACCAAATTTGGCAAAGTATAGAGGCTTTGAATATGTTTCCTGCAAAACCAAGTCTACAAGTCGTTGGTATATATTTGTCTAGAAGTTGTGAATTCGGAAGGACTCTTGTAAAAATTTCCTTCAAATTCAGTTGGAAATAGTGTTCCAATACTATCTAGATTAGATTAAAGTAGATTTAGATCTATCAAATCTCTTTGTACTTCTAGAGGCAATGGTGAAGGATTTTCAAGATGCCTCAATGACATCATTGACACTCTCTTGGTAATCCAAATATGACATTTTAACTACTTATAGATAGACTTCTTAAGTTTATGAGTCAAAAAAGGATTTGAATTTTTGTAGATTTATTTGGATGTAAATCAATTATAGAGTCTTTTATTCAACTCAAAGATCGCAAGTTAGATTCATTGGTACGCTTCTTTCAAGTTCAACATTATCATTGTCTTCATCTTTTCTTCAATGAAGAGATCCAATATTGGATAATTTAGAGGCTTTTTTGGCGGAGTTTCGATCCATGTATGGAGAACATGATGCAATTCGTATTGCAATCAATAAGATCCATATTTTACGATAATGCAATCGATCAGTAACGATGTATGCTTTACAATTTTGACAACTTGCACCTGATATCAAGTGGGATGATGTTGCACTTATTAGCCAATTTCTCTACGGATTACAATATGAGGTAAAAAAATTAATGTTCAACTTATATGATCCTCAAACATTGAGTCAAGCAATTGACTTTGCTGTGAAGTGTGACAATCACCTTTTTGAATTCCAATCTGAGAACAGTACAAGTGGACGTCAACGTAACTATAATTCAATAGCATCACCAACATCTCTTCAACACATACATTCGGAAGTAGAGGATATGTAAATTGAAGCAATACGTTTCAAACCTCTTACTGAGCAAGAAAAGATTCATCGTCATCAAGAAGGATTGTGCTTATATTGTGGAGAACCTAAGCACAATGCTCAACATTGTCCAAAGAAGTGATACAACCATAAAATGAGGAGTACGGCGATTAAAGAAGATAGCATGTCGAAAAACGAATTTGTCCAACTACAATAGGGACCGTGCGACTTGAACCTTATACAACGCCTAGTGAAGATCCTATCTTCTCCTCATAACCCTCTCCATATTTTACGATAAATGTTATTCTAGGACCTACATATCTCAAAGCCTCTGCCTTGCTAGATTCAGGAGCTTTAGCATATTTCTTAGATGAAAAATTTGCTAAAAGACATAGCATATTTTTAATAAAGAAAAATTAAACTTGTTCATGTAGAAGTCATAGATGGTCGTTCGTTGTCTTCAAGAGATGTTACTCATGAAACCCTTCCTATAGAAATAACAACTAATGATCATAGTAGCTTTATAATATTTAATATTATTAAATCTCCTTCTAATGTAATCATTTTAGGTTTATCATAGCTAAAAAAATATAACCCTAAAATAGATTGGACTTCTCGTTAACCTATATTTGTAGGTGCAAGTACTTTCTTGCATGCTGCAAAAGAAAGATCACCTTGTGTCATTTATGCCACACCTACTTCTATTGATGGAAAGACTTCAAGTCGCATTCCAAGCCAATGTCAAGATTTTCAAAATATATTTAAGAAAAAAAATGCGGATACTCTTCCAGAACATTGTTCCTATGACTACTCAATTGACCTTCAAAAAAGAGCACAACCGCCATTTGGATCAATCTACAATTTATCTCAAAATGAGTTAGCTAAATTCAAGGAGTATATTGAAGAAAATTTGGCCAAGAACTTCATATGCCATTCCAAATCTCCAGTAGGAGCTCCAATTTTATTTATGAAGAAAAAAGATTGATCATTGTGGATGTGTATTGATTATCGAGGATTCAACAAAATCACTATCACAAACAGGTAGCCGCTACTTTTGATATCTAGACTTCTCAATCACTTGAATCAAGCTAAGATCTATACAAAAATAGATCTATGGAGAGCATACAATTTGGTACGCATCAAAGAAAGAGATGAATGGAAGATTATATTTTGAACAAGGTATGGACATTTTGAATACAACGTCATGCCTTTTGAATTTATAAATGCATCAGCAGCATTCCAACATCTAATGAATGATGTCTTTCAGGAGTTTTTAGATGATTTTGTTGTGTGTTACCTAGACGACATCTTAATCTATTCTAAGAACTCAGAAGAACATGAACTTCATGTTCGCTAAGTATTATTCAAACTAAAAGATGCAAGATTTTATGCTAAGATAGAAAAATGTATATTTCACACTACTCAATTCGACTTCTGTGGTTGGTTGTTTTACTTATTCCGAAAGGAACCTCCCAAAATAAACATGTATAGGAGAATTCGAACACGGGGAGTGACTAGTTGCTTAAACGTTCACGTTAGGGTCACACAATTAATTACCTCCAATGTATCGTCTCTATTTCCATTGTCTAAGCACACAAGGAAACTATAATCTCTCCTTTCACCTTATCAATCTCTTCCTTACAACAATTCAGTCATATCAATAATTGTTATTTCCACCTATATATCTTCACTCTTACAATCTCCAACTGTAATACCTCAACATCACAGCTTCAGCACACAATTACCCTCATTCCAATTACTGGAATTCTTCACTCATAACTACCATTCACATTACAGTGTTTCACACAACCACAGATTCACTCTTTCTGCTGAACTACATTCAGATTTCAGCATTCAATCTTTCTTCTTCCCATTTAATAACATATAATTCCAATCACACTTTTATTCCATGATTCACTTCACAATATTCAGAAACTCTCAATACTCTTATTTCAAAGAACATAACAACAAAAGAAAAGAGGTAGCACCAAGCTTACCCCGGCTCACACTATCATAGTAATGGCCCTTTCTTCCTCTCTCTCATCCTCCTTATCCTACCACGAGATACCAACTGCTACATCTCTAATGAAAACTACTTTTCTTAACTATTCATCCATTTTAACTACTGAACTACCTTTCCAATAGTCATCTATCCCTGTTTACACTATAAACTAAGTATCTACAAATCAGAAAATAACTACTTATTCTACATAGCCCCACTCCTAACTGTGCAGCGTCCTCGCAAACACCCAGTTCAAAATTGAACTGCTGACTCCTTAGCATTGTCCATACTCATAGCTACTGATTACAATTCTAAAGTCACTTCTTCGTCTTCCCCGTCTGATACATTTATTGGGACTATGTTCAATCTGGCCGTTAAATCTTCATTAAGTGCTCCCAATTCACAGACTTGACTTTCCAATTGTAGAATTCAGGTGTCTTTCGCCTCTAATTGGTATTATTGTTGCTTCACCTTCTGTTCCAATTCGCCAATTGAACCTTCAATTGATCCTTGTAGCCATCGAACGCTGACCAATTCTTCCTCCAATTTCTTTGCAACCTCCTTCAGAGTGTTGATCTCCCCTTGCATTTCCTTTGTCTTCACTCTGAATTGGTCATTCATCGTCTTCTTTTCCTGTTCCAAAGTCGCCATCTTTGTCTGGTTCAATTCCAATTGTTGCTTCATTTTCTCAACTTCCAGTTTCGATTGATTGAGAGAATTGGAGAGCTCTTGTTTCTGATGCGCCATTCGTTGGTGAAGGCGCTTTCTTTCCTTTTCTCACGCTTGCTGTTTTACTCCAAGGGCATGCTCTAGTCTCGAATTGGCTTCTTTGGTGGCCCTATTCACCCGATCTTGTTCCAACAGTTTTTGACGTTGTTCTGCCATCTCCCTCTTATACGCCACCAATTGCTGCTTGAAATTCGTGTGATCAACCAATTCGTTTGCCATCTCCTGCAATTGGGATAATTGTACCAAAAATCGCTCTTTCACACTATTCTCCTCTAGTGTTCGATGTTGAATGTCCACTGGCCTATTGTCTCTCTGAACCATTGGACCCCTCTCCCGAACACTGATTGGTTCTCCCGCCTGTTGGCTTGTTTCTCCTGGTCCCCATGGAAGTGCCAATAAATTACTCCTCGGTTTTGGTAGTACTGGAGCTGCTATCGTCTTCCCTTTCTCCGGCAATAGTTGACTCAACTCATAAACTATT